TACTGTATGATCTTACTTATATGTGAAGTCTAAAAGCAATAAACCTGTAGAAACTGAGTAGAATGTTGGTTACAGGGTGTGTGTGTGTGGGGGGGTGGGGGGCAGATTGGGGAGGCAGTTGGTCAAAGATTATACAAACTTGCAGCTAGAAGATGCACACATTCTGGAGATCTAACACACAGCAAAGTGATCTCAGTCAACGACACTGTATTATATACTTCAGAGCTGCTACACACTGGATCTTGAATATTCTCACCACAAAAGAGAAGTGATAATTATGTGACATGATGGAGGTGTTAACTAACACTAGGGTGGAAATCGAACTGCAATATATAAATGCATCACATCAACATGTTGTACACCTTAAATTTACATAATTTTGTATGTTACTTATATCACAATTAAAAACATATGTCTCTGTTCTTTTCTCTCCTTTCTTCCTCCATTATTGAGTACCTACTATGTGTATTGCAAATATAAATTATTACTTTAATGTCATTCTGCTCAAGATCTTATGTGTTCAGGATTTTTTTTGGTGGGGTGGGGAGCAGGGTGTGTGGCATTGGGGTGCAGGGTGCATGAAGGTAGGTTCGATGTAACCTCCTCGATGAGATGGGCGGCAGGGGGTGAAGATCCAAGCGTGTGGGAGAGCTCCTGGAACACTGGCTCGACCTCAGGTGATCTACAGGGTTTTGCCATTCCAAGACTTGAGTAAGCGCATTAGAGTTGAAAGCAATTAGGAGAGTATGTGAAGTAGAACTATGGAGAGTGGGTCTCAATTTAGGGGAAAAGATGATCTCTTTTAATAGAAAAATCAAACTGTAAATACTGCTGTCACCATGGCTCCAAGCCACACCCAAAAGGGCAAACTATGTGGGCTCCCTGGCTGGAGGACGCTGGCTTCTTGCTCAGAGGGACATCCATCCTGGGCCCTCACTGCCTTGGGGGTGCTCTGGGAAGGACAGGAGACCAGCTCCACCTGAGGAGGTTTCAGAGCTTCCCCTAATAAAAAACAATACAGCACAAGCTCCAAGAGCAACACTGTGGCAAGAGAACTTATCCACTCTTTATAAAAATGACACTACTATTAAAGGTTCTTTAAAGAGCATGTAATTTTAAAATGAAATTTCTCTTTAAAATATCAGAAAATTATATATCATGCTAGTTTGCCTGTTTCTTCAGTATATTATTTTTAATGTAAATATTATATTGACTTTTAAAATCACAAAAAGCAATAAATGCTTATTTGGAAAACCTCCCTTTCTCCAAACCATCTGAGCCTCCCACTTCCTGGGTAGCTGCTGTGAAAGGTTTATTTTTTGTCCTTTCTGGCCTTGTGGGTGTCGGTGTATCTGAATGGGTGTAACCAATGATGGTTATTCTACAATGTTTTTGCTTATTGCAGCTACTGGTATCAGCAGATACAAGTTTGTCCAGCTACAATACAGTAATTCTTTTGATCCTGGAAAATGTTCAGATTAGGAAGTAAAAGGAAGACATCCTTAATTATGTATGAGGCAGGTTTAATCCAATACTCTGAAGTGGAGGTTTGGGTATATTCCCGGCATCGAGTTATACTTTTATCTAAAATATCTGGATGACTAAGTAAGGGTGCCTGTTTTCCCATAGCTGTGAGGATAATTGCCAACTTTTCCATTTCCCTTTCCTGCAGTAGCTCTAACCCTAGCCCAAAAGTCTCAGCTGCAGTGGTTTATATAAAAACTTGTTCAATCCACGCTTGAAGCAGATTATATAGGCTGAGAGACTATCAGACTCTATCATATTTAAATAAGCTAAAAAGTCAATAAATCAAAGGAAGCATACTGTAAGTCACTCTAAGTCAGCTCCCAATTTGCCGTGGTTTTGCTGGGATGATTCTGTTAATCCTCATGTTGCTGGTGGATCCTTAGGGCCACTCAGAACTCAGCCCATCACCATGACTTCCCAAAAGGCACTGACCACTTTTTTTGTGGACTTTTGCCTGTGGTTTCATTTTGCTAATATGAAGAATGAACAAGGCTGGAAAGAAAAGCTTGAAAGTATATTCTGTTGAAAATTTGAATGATTGTTGTGGAGAGAAAGTTATAACTAATAACTGCAGTTTGCCAAAATGAAGAATTTTTTTTCATGCAAGAAGAAGTTCAGGCAAAATGGATTGTGTTGTGAGTATCCAAGAATAATGAGCAAAGGGAGAGAAACTAAAGGAAATTCTACATGGTGCCATCCAAACATGGATGTAAATTTGATCTGTGTACATAGGGAAATGGTTAAAATTAGAGTGAAGTAATTTCCTGATTTCTACAGATGAGCTCATTCCTTAAAAAATTAGTAGATCCTATGAGAAAGTAGATTTTCTGTGTTTCCTACAGGAAATTGTGTTTGCTTCAACATAGGAAGGAAACCAGTAGAAGAAAATTAGTATGATAGTGCTGAGACCACGTGAGAGAGAAAGGGAAGTGAGAGAGGAGAGAGAGAGGTGCACACAGCAGTAACGGGAGAAAGATACCGAACCTTATTCAATAATAAAACAGTGGCTTAGGAAAAGACCCATCTATGGCAAAGAGAAGCTCTGAGAGGTGATATTAAGTTCTTAAGGTTATATTTTAAAATACCTGATGTACTTACTTAGAATCTACTATTATGGTTTATAACTCCTCAAATTATTTTTCCACGACTATAAAGATGATACTTCTTAATGTTCAGTTTGATGTGAGGGTGGAACCCTGTGCAAAAATCAGATATTTTACGCTTCTCCACTCCCAGGGCAAGTCTTGTCTTCCTGCTCCTGCCCTTCCAATGCCCCCAGGCCCAACCCTACAGCTGCAGGCAAGCCTGCCTCCTTCCTACCCAGAGAACTGCAGGCAGTGGCCCATTCCTTAGCATGAGACACACAAAGCCCAAGAAGAACAGACGCAGTCACCTCCACGGTGTTTTCATTTACTTCTCCCTGTTTGGGGGTGTTCTCCCACAGAGGACCTCTGGCTAAAGCCCCTCCAATTTGATTTGGATTCTAAACATAAGCCAGTTCACCCTCCCACCCCTCATCTCCACTGATAGGCTTTCCAGATTAATAAATACTACAAACACTGCAAATAATTTTTTTAGTATATCTGTGTTCCATGCAAAATTTAGGGTATACTTACACTATAAAATTATTTGCCATTTACTTGAAATTTAAATTTAGCTGGCAGCCTGGATTTTATGTGGCAATCCTGTTATTTGAACCTGGGAACCTCCAGACCATGGGACAGGAACTGTTGCAGGAAGTATAAGTAAATTGTCTCTCAGATACAATCTGAGAGGTGAGCAAAAAATAAGCCATCTGCAGTCTCTTTCCAGTGTATCCATATCACCGTTCCCTGAGGTGGAAGTGAGCCACTGGCCCTTTTCCTTCCCTTGATTCTTCTGAGTAAGGATCTGCATTTTGTGTATTTAAGGGGCGGTTTCAGTACAGGAGGGCAGCCAGCAGGCAAGGAGATTGTTAGAGTGAAGAATGGACCAGACACCAGGAAAGCGCTGTGTGTGGGGTAGGGAGGATGAAATGGGAAAACACCTAAAGACACAGCGATACGCTATAGGCACAGGGCAGACCTTGAAGCTGCACGTACTGTACAAATGTAAACACACATAAATATGCGGTGATAATAAAAAATGGTTTTGCATTACATAAATCAACCTTATTTAATTTGTAAGTTTCATTTGTGGCTGTTCTTATGTAGAATTTCTGAGTGAATAAGAACGTACATTTACTGTCTCTGCTTGGAGATAGGCAGCCAAGGCAGAGTGCTGAGCTCCCCGTGGAGGCAGGGAGCATTGCTCCCCCTAACCCTGAGATCATGGTTTGCATTGATCAAGAGTTCATTGATTAATGAACTCTTGCTGTCTAATCTCTAAGGTTTTTTCCCCCAAACTCTTTTGACCTCCTATCTCTAGTTAGTAGGATTTTAACTCAGGTTTGAGGACCTATTAATTCTCAAGCCTGCAAAAGTTCTAGGCTGAATGATAATTATCGACATTTCATCTACCTAGAACAGAAATTGAATAATACAATATTCTGGTATAGGCTTTTTCTTCTAATTTATTCATCATTATTTATTTTGACTCTAGGACTGATAATCTGGTAGAACTACTCTGTATTGGAGTTATGCTAAATGTAATCATAAAGTTAAGCCTTGTTAAGATGGAGGTGTCTTTTTCTTGGACCCAAATGCTATAAATCTGAACAGACACACATGTCGTTCTTCCTAACTCATGGCTACATTCCTGTGCAGACTCCAGCGACATGGAAATCAGTTCAGCTCTTTTGTCCCTTTCTGCCTATAATCTATTGATAAAAATACAGTTTAATGGCATAAAACTAAATTCAATTTCGAGGGTTAAGAAGGCTCTTTATACAAATGACAGAGGTTTTAAAATATATAAATCTGCCTCTGTTACAATGAAAGGGAACTTATCAGCTGTTCCATCAATATTACTGAATCATCATTTCTTTCTTCATATTTTCTCACAGTGATATTTCAGGTCTTTTGGGATAGTCATTTTGTGGGCATCTTGGAATTAATAAAACATTCCAGCTCTGTGATGCTCAACAATCAGGGTGTGTGATTTGTTTAGGGGGTCACTCCCCTAAAAGTCAGAGATTGATTATGAAGAGTAAGAGTTGTTAGGGATGACTTTGCTGGCTCCTAGGAGGCTGTGCAGGGATCTTGTGAAGACCTGTCCCTTACGATGTTCCTCTTGGTCTTGTAGTTGGAATTTTCTCTGTTGAAAGCAGAGATAGTGACAGAGAAAGAAGGTTGGATGTGAATGTAGCCAGAAGCTGGGGAAAGAGGAAGGCAGGGAAGCAAACCATTGCTTTGTAGGGCATAGGTGGTACTTGGTAACTGTGTGCACAATATGCATTCTTATGGGACAGTGTGCCACAGCTCCAGCGCAGAGGCCAGGCTGGCTGGGGCACGGTGTCACAGGGGACTCAGGGGACAGTTGCTTTGCTCACTCACCCGTGCTGCTCTGAATGGTCCTCACGGTGGTGGTGGTGCGCGGTGGGGAGGAGGACCTCAGGGACACACACTCGTCGTCTTGGGAGCAGCCCTTCTCGATGGCCCGCACGTAGCTGTGGCTCCGCATGCGGAAGCAACCGGGCATGGGCAGGTCCAGGGCTTCCACCGCCTGGGACTCCAGCTCACTGAACACCGATTCGCACACGGACTCAAACTGCCCGTTCACTTCCATCTCACTCACCTGTGGGCACAGACAGGTTGCTGTCACACAACATGCCCTTCCTCCTCCCCAGGGGACAAGCGACCTCTCCCTTCAAGCATCTCCAAACTGCAGCCCCCTCCCCCCAGAAGAAAGCAGCGGCTGATGACATTAAAATCCAATGCATTTTATTTCCTCTACATTACAGACTTATTCCAGTGGGTGTCCAGGTGCTAATCTTCCTTATTTATAAACGCAAACCTAGGGAACAACCTTTTGGTCCACGGTCAGAGTTTGTGTATTTCAATGGAACCATTTTTAGCACAAACATTTTAGAAACTAGGATTTTTTACAAAATATATTTTATTGATTATGCTATTACAGTTGTCCCATTCCCCCCCACCCCTTTATTCCCCCCACCCTTCACACCCCTCCCACCCACATTCCCCGCCCTTTAGTTCATGTGCATGGGTCATACATATAAGTTCTTTGGCTTCTACATCTTACCTTCCCCCTTTCTATTTTCTACCTTATTATGCTACTTATTCTCTGTACCTTTTCCCCCTCTCTCCTCTTCCCACTCCCCTGTTGCTAACCCTCCATGTGATCTCCATTTCTATGGTTCTGTTCCTGTTCTAGTTGTTTGCTTAGTTCATTTTTGTTTTAGGTTTGGTTGTTAATAACTGTGAGGTTGTTGTCATTTTACTGTTCATAGTTTTTATCTTCTTTTTCTTGGATAAGTCCCTTTAACATTTCATAGAATAAGAGCTTGGGAATGATGAACTCCTTTAACTGGACCTTATCTGGGAAGCACTTTATCTGCCCTTCCATTGTAAAAGAAAGCTTTGCTGGATAGAGCAATCTTGGATGTAGGTCCTTCCCTTTCATGACTTGGAATACTTCTTTCCAGTCCCTTCTTGTCTACAAGATTTTTTTTGAGAAATCAGCTGATAGCCTTATGGGAACTCCTTTGTAGGTAACTGTCTCCTTTCCCCTTGCTGCTTTTAAGATTCCTTATCTTTAATGTCGGGTAACTTAATGATGATGTGCCTTGATGTGTTCCTCTTTGGGTCCAACTTCTTCGGGCCTCTCTGAGCTTCCTGGATTTCCTGGAAGTCTGTTTCCTTTCCCAGATTGGAGAAGTTCTCCTTCATTATGCTTTCAAATAAATTTTCAATTCCTTGCTCTTCCTCTTCTCCTTCTGGTACCCCTATGATCTGGATATTGGAACATTTAAAGATGTCCTGGAGATTCCTAAGCCTCTTCTCATTTTTTGGAATTCTTGTTTCTTTATTCTATTCTGGTTGAATGTTTATTTCTTCCTTCTGGTCCAAACCACTGATCTGAACCCTGGTTTCCTTCCCATCACTATCAGTTCCCTGTACGTATTCCTTTATTTCACTTAGCATAGCCTTCATTTTTTTTTCCTAATTTGTGATGATAGTCAGCCAATTCTATGAGCATCCTGTTTACCAGTGTTTTGAACTGTGCATCTGATAGTTTGGCTATCTCTTCATTGCTTACTTGTATTTTTTCTGGAGCTTTGATCTGCTCTTTCATTTGGGCCATTTTTTTTTTTTTGTCTCAGTGTACCTGTTACAATGGGAAGTACAAGGGAACAGTGCCACTTGCTCCACTCTATGCCAGCTTTCAGTCACTTCCCCTGCTACCCACAAGCAAATTGGGACCTTCTGGTGCTGATTCCCGGGTAGGTGAGTTTGTGTACATTCTAGGACCCTGTGGGTCTCTCCAAGGAACTCTCTTGTGAGGCTGGGAGTTTCTCCCTCCACCTCAACTCCCACAGGTGTTTTCAATCAGAGGTTTGAGGCTTTATTTCCCTGAGCTGGAACCCTGGGTTGCTTGGTCTGTCTTGCTTGCCAGTTGTTTCTCCGAGTTTATTTGCATGTGAATGTGGGACCACTGAGTTGCCTGCCCTGGTTCTCCAGCTGCAGCCTTGTTGCGAGTCCTCTCCACCCAATGCCTGTTTCCACTCCTCCTACTGGTCTGGATGAATGTTTCTTCTTTAACTCCTTGGTTATCAGACTTCCATACATTTTGATTTTCTGTCAGTTCCGGTTATTTTTTGCTTTTAAATTTGTTGTTGTCCTTCTTTGGGTTGTGCCAGGAGTCACAGTGTGTCTATCTATGCCTCCATCTTGGCTGGAAGTCCCTGAAACTAGTATTTTTATTGTGCCTTTGCAAGTGAATAGTTCAGCTAATAATTTCAGTGTCAACTGAAGCTTAATTTGGCATAAAGTATAAAAACAGGCCCTATATTTACTAGTAAGATACTCATATTCTTCCCCAAAATAGATCAAATCTGATATGTCAAAGTCTGGAAAAGCACTGTCAAGGTTTTCAAACTACCTATGAACTTTCTAAAGCTTTCACTTCTCTTTTTAAAAAGCTGATATGGTCCATAAATTATTTATAAATGCACTTAAAAATATCTTCCAAATGAGGCCTTCTCCTTTTTGAGGAATGAGTTTTTATTTATTTATATGCCTCTGTAGATAACTTACATTGGATTTGAGCATCATCTGAAAGGATAAATACATAAATAAATAAATAAATAAGTCAGACCAAGGGCTCCAATTTATCACTTTGTAGAGATGAGGGAGCATTCTTCAATTTTTTGTTTTTTTAGAACTTCATATGTCTAATTTTCCTATTATCAAATTCATGAGTAATTGAGAATTTAACAGATTAAACTATAATTAAGCTTAGAATACAGGGAAAATGATTACAATTTTTGACTGTCTCCTCATTTTGTGTTATCTGAAGATACACTCCAATAATGACTAATTCTTAAAACTTCAGATAAAAGGGACCAATTTCCTAAAGGCACATAAGTGGGAAGACACATGGATTTCTTAATAATTTATTGTAGTTTCAAATAGTATTTTAACATATTTTATCTAATTTTATATAAATAATCCCTGCATGTTTTCAAGGCTGATACTTATGTATGTATTAAAAATTAAATATATATTATCTATATCCATGCTTTTTTTAGAAAATACTTAGAGATGCATTGAAAGTTAAATAGACTTGATATTTGCAATTCATTGTCAAAGAGTGAAAGAGTTACATGCAACTCTTTTGTAAGTGTGAAATGATTTCAAAGTCAAAGTATATGTATATGCATATGTATATATATGTATACGTACATGTACATGTATAGGTTTATATATTATTTATTATATTTTCCATTTTAATCACTATGCCAAACATCACAAAGAAATAATACATCTATCCCTGTGAAGTAACAACTGTTAAACTTGGGTAACTAGCTTTCCAGAGGTATGTACCCTCTCTTCTATTTTTCATAAAAATTGGATCATAAAGTAAAACCACTCAAAACAAATGCATAACTCAACAAATTATAATAAGGAAAACACCCTTATAAACACTACCCAGAGCAAGAAACAACTTCTCCAGACACTCAGAAGCCCCTCCACAGGCCCCATCCTAACCACAATCCAACCCCCTCCAAAAACAACCCATACTCTGAGTAGTTGTATTGCAGTCACTTCTTTGCATTTACTTATGTGTTTTTTTTTTTAACCGAAGTGTGCATCCCTGGACTGTATAGTTTAGTTGCACACATTAAAAAAACTTAGTATATCTTTTAATTCACTGGTAACATATAGGTTATCTTTCATCCATTTAAAAAATTATCCTCCATCCATTCATCTATTGAAGCAGCTGGATCACTTGACCTATAGAGATTCCCACTGGATTTGCTAATTTCATACTCATGATGGGATTTAGCATGTTTTTCTGTCTTTTCTATGTCCTGAATGTTATAAGCTGGATCCTGAGTTTTGATCAGACTCAGGTTCAATCCCTTTGGCAAGACTAGAGGTCATGCATTCTTTCATTGAGAAGCACATTGCTTTCATTAATGGGTTGTCTTCACGTCGTTAGGCATCATTTGTGCTCAAATGCCCACATCCATTAATTTACTGGGGGGCTGCAAATGGTGATATTCTAATCCCACCAACTTTTACAGTTACTAGTTGGAACAGTTTTATAAATAATTGCATCCTGTCATATTATTTGGTTACTCACTGGTTTAGTTCACATGGGAACTCTTCCCTTTCATTCACTAAGTTTCACGTTAATATATTTGTTCACTCTTATCTACAAAAAGTGATCTGTATTTTTTATTTTATTTATTTTTTATTTTTAAAGATTTTTAAAAGATTTTATTTATTTAATTTTAGAGAGGGAAGGGAGGGAGAAAGAGAGAGAGAGAGAAACATCAATGTGCAGTTGCTGGGCGCCGTGGCCTGCAACCCAGGCACGTGCCCTGGTTGGGAATCAAACCTACGATGCTTTGGTTCGCAGCCTGTGCTCAATCCACTGAGCTATGCCAGCCAGGGCATGTATTTTTAAAAATAGAAAAATAAACTCATGGTTTTAAAAATATTTGATGGTTTTAAATCCAATTCGTTTATTATTCTTAGTGAACTGAAATTTGTCTCAGCTTTGGCCAGTGGGAACCTCTTTGGTTGGCTCCTCGGTCCTTTTGACATGAAGCTAGTGGTCTCAGATAGCTTCCTTGATATCCGTTATGACAAAGGATTGCAAACTCATCTTGTACATGTCCTGCCCAGTCCTGGAATCAGTATTTTCCCCCAAATCCCTCTTTTCTATTAGCAGGAATTGGTATCCCAAGAACACAATTTGGGCACTAGGAAGCTTTGTTGTCATTGCTACTTGGTTAGTCATTGTTCCTAGGTATTTTCAATGGAAAGAAGTAGGCTATGAATTCCTCCAATTCAAACTGCAGGGTTTTAAAGTAATCTCTTCTATATTAACTTATGCCTTTATTCCATACTAAATTTTAGGTCTCAAGCACACAGAGATGATAGCATTGGGATATCCTGTAATTATTCATTTGCTTTATTCTACAATACATGCACAATAGCCTCAGAATAACATAGTAATACTACCACTGCCCATATGATTACTGAAAACAGCTAATAATTCCTTTTTGGGGGTGTGCATATGCTCTCTCCATTTTTTCCTCATTT